AGCTCAACCATGTTTCCTGTAAAAACGGTGCCTGAATATATATTTATCAACGCAGTGTGATTTCTACGCAGAAAACACACACATTACATAATACATCTGTTCATAATAATCTAAGGCCAAGCAGGACTCTACCCCTTTTCCTCTTACTCCTGCACACTGGTGCCTCCTCTCTGTCTTAACATGAACTGCAGGGAGGTGTGCCAGTTACCATAGAAACAGTGGGGTTTTCCTTTGAGTGGTGGCAGGGGATATATAAACCAATATCCTCCATTTTAATATAAACTTCTCTGTCCCTCTTGTCATCCGTTCTCCCTCTCTGTCGCTCTCCAGGAGGCGGAGGCTCTTTTGAAGAAAGCCCAGCAGTAGCAGCTTTACACTGTTTCTACCTGAGACCTCAGGCTAAGACCTGGACCCAGACCTGGACCCAGACCTGGAACCAGACCTGGACCCGGACTCACCTGGAAAAGATCCAGGAAATGAAAAAAAGAAGCAACATTTCACTTAGCTTATAAATATGTTGATGTTCGATGGTTTCTTCCAGATAGTTTTTTTTTCTATTATTAATTTGTGTTCAGCTGTGCCTTGTCAGCTGTAGTGAAAGGAGGTACTACACCAGAGCATCATGGGTATCTAAAAACAGCTCTGCGTCCTCCACTAACCTCAGCCTGCTAAGCCTTCTCGGCCTAATGGCATGTCAATCAACCATTAGCATGAATGTGTAGCTTCCTGTCTGAGAACACATCATTGGACTAAAAAAAAAGGGCCCACCTTGAAAACACATTGTTTGGCCAAAACAGAATGTCATCCATGTTGACACCATTGTCATATGTGCAACTCAGCAGGTTTAACCAAGCACAAGTCTTATTTGTTGAATTCTGGAAAACATTGAGTCAAATGTTGTGCTCCTCACCCACCACTCATGTTGTCACCAAAACCCGCAGCACCTTCCTTTGGAGTTAGCTATTACAATCCCATTCCCAGTGTTTTTATTTACTTTATATTGTCTTAATGCTGTTTTAATAGCAAACATTTTTCTACAAGATGATATATGTTTGAAAATTATTAAACATGCCAAAATGTATGCAAACACAGAGGGGTGTGAAAGTGAAAGTTTTTTTATTTGCTGTGTTTGTTGCTTATAGGACTCAGATCGTTTTTGCATTTCGCTTGTGGCATTTTGTTTTGAATTGTTTTATAAATTCCCTGTTTTACATAAGTTGGTATCTTCCCTAAAATAAAACAGAAATAAGACTGCAAGCTCTGGATGCTTCTTCTTATTAGTAAGTTATTAAATAACAAAGAATCCACCCATACACCCATGTTCCATACTGCTTTTTCTGGAGGGGTTGCAGTGGGAGCTGGAGCCAATTCCATTGGACGAGAGGCCCTTGACAGACCATCAGAAAAGGCAGGGCCTACACACTGAGAAAAACAACCATTCTCACTTAAACCCCTATCTCTGTCTTTGGATCCTGGCCAAACTGTGATTTGATGGGAACCTTCTTGCTGTGAGGCGTCAGCACTAACTGCTGCACCTAATAAAGATACAGTTGAATATTTTTTTTATTAATTCAGCCTACTCATAATAAACTGTTATTCTTTATATACAATAGATGGTTTTAAGTTTCCAGAGTAACAATTGTGACTCCCATATACAGGAGGAAAATCTGCAACAGGTCAAAATGTTGCTATAGGAATTAATCAGAGCTTAGATTGCAGTGTGCAGGTTAGACTTCCATCTATTATCTATACTGCATATCCTTGGGGGGTTGTGCGGTAGCTGGAGCTAATCCCAGCTGACATTGGTCGAGAGGTGGGGTACACCCTGGACAGATTGCTAGAGTGCATCCCAAAGCTGACATGCAGAGACAAACAACAACAACCATTAATCCTCACCCACAGGCTATTTAGAGTCACCTACATGTCTTTAGTTGGTGTGAGTGCAATTAGAAAACCCAAAAACATAGAAAAAACATGTAAACTGCACGTAAGAGTTCTGTCCACTTTACACTTTTCACGTGTTTTTTTCAGGCCCAAAATTAAATTAAATTAAAACTCTCAAAAATTTCACAGCAAAAGCAAAGATAAGAGAAAAGGTTTGTTTTCTACTTGACTATCTGTCAATAGTCTCATGACACCTGATATGGGGCATAACCCCAGGTTTGACACCAATAATTTGCTCAACACTAAATAAAATAGTAAAACTAGCTCCAGTTTAACTAGTTTTTAACAGTACGGTACATCAGGTAACAGTCAGGTACGTCAGCTGCTGCGTGCGCGCTCTACTGCATTCAGATCAGGCAATCAGACTGTACAAAGCTGCAAAGTACCGACTGAGAAAAGCCATCACAGCGGCAAAGAGGCAGTACAGAGAGAAGCTGGATGGCTTCTACTCCACTGCTGACTCCGGGCGGATGTGGCAAGGCCTACAGCACATCACAGACTACGGGACCACCACCAGCACCATCAGCTCCACAGACAGCCTACCAGACGACCTCAACACCTTCTACACCCGCTTCGAGACCTCCAGCTCCAGCACAGAGAGGCACACACACACCTGGATCACCCAACCCCCCTCCCCTACACCAACAGTCTCATCAGGCCAGGTACACAGAGCTCTCAGGAAGATCAACCCCCGCAAGGCAGCAGGGCCAGACAACATCCCTAGACGTGCCCTGAGAGCATGTGCAAATGAGCTGACTGATATTCTCACCTCCATCTTCAACCTTTCCCTCAGCCTGAGCACCGTCCCCACCTGCTTTAAGACCACAACCATCATCCCCCTCCCAAAAAGAGCCCACCCACCTGCCTGAATGACTACAGGCCAGTAGCACTCACTCCAATCATCACAAAGTGCTTTGAGAGAGCGGTGCTGGCCCACATCCAGAGCAGCATACCGGACACCCTGGATCCCCAGCAGTATGCCTACAGGCCCAACAGGACGCCACAGCTGCTGCCCTCCACTACTCCCTCTCCCACCTAGAAAACAAGGACTCCTACATAAGGATGCTCTTTGTCGACTACAGCTCCGCTTTCAACATGGTTGTCTCCAACAGACTCATCCATACACTCTCCACACTCGGTCTGCACCCCACCCTCTGTGACTGGCTGTTTGACTTTCTGACTGGCAGGCCTCAGTCTGTCAGGATTGGAAATAGGACTTCAGCCAGTATTATCACCAACATCGGCACCCCACAGGGGTGTGTCCTCAGCCCCATCCTCTACACCCTGTTCACCCACGACTGTGTCGCCTCCCACAAAGACAACATCGTCCTGAAGTTTGCGGATGACACCGCAGTGATAGGACGCATCACTAGGGGACAGGAAGTGGCCTACAGGAGGGAGGTGGCCAGTCTGGTGTCATGGTGCGAGGATAACAACCACACCCTCAACACTGACCAGACCAAGGAGCTGATAGTGGACATGAGGAAGGAGAGGTGACCTCATCAACCCCTTTTCATCCGGGAGCTTGAAGTTGAGAGGGTGAGCAGCTTTAAATACCTCGGGGTCCACTTCAGCGAGGACCTCACCTGGACATTAAACACCACACAGCTAGTGAAGAAGGCTCAACAGCGGCTGTACTTACTGAGGAGGCTGAGGAAGTTTGGGATGAATCCTAAGATCCTCAGCAACTTCTACAGCTGCATCATTGAGAGCATATTGACCAGCTGCATTGCAGCGTGGTACGGCAGCACTTCTACTATGGACCGCAAACACCTGCAGAGAGTGGTGAGGACAGCAGAAAAAATCATCAAGACCTCACTGCCCTCTCTGCAGAGCATTTACCACCGCAGGGTTCACAGGAGAGCTGCCTCCATTCTTAAAGACCCCACCCACCCCCAACTTGGACTGTTCACACTTCTACCCTCAGGCAGGAGGTAAAGAAGTGTTAAATGTAGGACCACCAGACTCAAAAACTCTTTCTTCCCCACTGCCATTAGACTCCTAAACAGCTGACAGGAGTCTATAACCTACCTCTGCACACTGGTCTGCACTTTAACATAAAGTATTCCATTTGTACTGTTTACATTTATATTGTATACATTTTATTTAATTTTTCACTGTGAATATTCAATTTGCACTGCTCAGTTTTGCAAAATCCTCACCTTATTCACCTCATTAGCCTTGTTTCTGCCTTACTTTTAAACATGTTTCATATTCTTATCGTATTTCATGTAAATATTGTATTTTAATGTAAATTTTGGTCGGCTGGCATTCCAGAAAGGACAGCACAAGAATTTCAATTCACAGGGGAACGTGTGTTCTCGTGTGTATTTGACAATAAAAATCTTTGAATCGTGAATCTAAACTGTGACTTACACAATGAAATATCAGTACAAACATCCAATAATAAAGGCAAACAAGTATTTAAACTTTTGTATTTTGAGTATACGACAATACCTATCCATCCATCCATTATCTATATTGGTTATTGTTCAAGGGTCTCTGGGAGCTGGAGCCAATCCCATCCGACATTGGGCGAGAGGCGGGGTACTCCGCAGTCAGGTCACCAGTATATCACAGGGCCAACATACAAAGATAAACGACCACACACAACAAGCTTCAAGTTCACCTCACCCAAATCTGCATGTGTTTGGATTGTGGGAGGAAGGGGAACCAAACCCAGAGCAATCTTGCTGTGATCCGACAGTGTTCACCACTGCTCTAATAATACTTGAACTGTTACTTGTTTAGGATTTTAAATATCAGATTTTTAAAATTATGTTGACAATGTTGAATTGGGTTTTATCTAAGTAAAGTATCTCAATACTACTGCCATTTAGTTTAGTACAAAGGTAAAAAAAAACAAGTCCTTGGAAATGTGCTTTTTTCAGTGTAGGAACTTTTCTCAGCATGTGAGTGTGAGACATTGCTGTCCAGTTGCAGATAAAGGAAGTATGTGGAGGGGGCACTTCTCAGTTGCAGAAGTGAAACAAGCTAAAAGGACCTTTAGAATCATACACACACACACACTATCACAGTATGTCATGAGTGCTTCAGACTGACAACCAGACGAATAGAAAGGAACGACATTGAAGAAGACACATCTGTGCCATGTTGGCCGAAGGTTTTCTCAGAGTTCAGCATTACAGGGAGGAGAAGAAGCTTGCCTCTGCTTCTAAACCACACAACACGCAGACACATGGTGCGGATCAGGTCAGCTGTATTCTCACCAGCTCTGACTCTACAGATTCACTTTCATATTCAACCGAAGCAGGTAAACAGCTTCCTTTACTGTTCTAACATATAAACAAAGTGAAAAGTCGAACTTAGCATACTGGTTTTATGTTCTAATTTTACACTGTCTGCTTCCCCTTTACTTAAATGTTCTTTTTTTTGTCTTATCTTTGTAATGCGTTCATACCACATTAACAAAAATGTTAAACCAAACCGACATAAACTGAGAACATCAAATTGACCAGTTTATTTTGTGTAACCAGGTCCAATTCAGGAAGAGTTAGACTCCAACCAACCACAGGTACTGAGAGTGGGGCCTCCAGACCCCATAGGCCTCTCAATCCCTGGCTTTCCACCTACCCTCACCCTGGACCAGGACCAGGACTTCCCAGTTTGCATCGACGACTGTAGCCTGTTGCAACAGTATCCAGACCTACAGGTGGCCGACTCAGGCCGCATCTCGCACAACCCGGTAAGAGCTGTTATCGCCCAGCATGGTTTGTACCCACCTGCCTCTGAAGTTCAACATCACGCAGAGTGGGCGGCCCAGCAGGAGCCGCAGAGGGAGCCTGTTTTATCCGTACCAGACCAAGGATATCTGGTCATGGGGGCCAATGTGAACGTAAGCCTGGGTCTGCCTGGATCTGGCTTGGAGCCCATGTCAAACTCGATTTTGAATGGGCTGCTGGAGAAACAGCTGGAGGAGGTGTACATGCAGCACCTGACCGACAACATGGCTCGATGCAACTCGTACCTGGAGAACAGCCTCCTGCACGGCCTAGTGCTGCCGCTGCAGGGCCCCGACTCACTGGAGGTCAGTCTGGAGGAAGGACCAGGAGGAGGAGCGGAAAAGAAGATCAGTTATCTGAGCACCCAGAACTTAGTTCCCTACTCGTCTAACTTCAGCTCCCCTGTGCTGAGGATTTCAGAGAGTTACAATACTCATCTGAAATGAAACAAGAAGGAACCCATCCTGCAAAATTAAATGTAATCCTCGCTATTGCTCTATCTTTCTATTGTTGATTCTGTTATTCACAATCACATATCATATTCATATCAGCAGATTGTAGAATGACACAGATCAGTAAAAAATTAGCATTTTTGATTTCCTGCTCCTGTATCTACCTCGTCTTTGTTTACTTGCTTGATAAAAATTATGCCTCAACATGACCTGCTCTCATATGCCACCTGCTGTTGAATTGCTGCACTACACCACAGTAACTTTACCTGTAGTTCATGAGAATTTATTTTGCTGACATTTACAGTGGGCACGTGTTAGGTAGGAAATATAACAGAGCAAAGTATAAATCCAGTGTTGTAAACCCACTCAATGAGAGAAACATTAAATCATCAGTGATCTTAGCTCTGACACATCCACAACCGGGAAACACAGAACCACACCCAGGCTGTTACATAAAATATGGAGATCGACAGCAACTCTTTGCAGTATTTCAGTTTCAGTGAAGCAGGAGATCTGTAATAGAACATGAGCTAAAGCACAAATGTAAATGCCACATGACATGCTACAAGAATACAACAATTCTTAAATGTGGGAGTGGAACCTGATTATAATCTGAAATTACAGTGTAGATGTCTTTTTATACCTTTAAACGATAATTAACAAAACGTCAACCTTCAATCACAGCTCTCCATCTTTCCTGTTTCATGACAGACCTCTAAATCTACAAACTGATCATTATATTTAAATTAAAAGGATCAACTACAGCCAACATGATGGTACCACAGGTTAATATTCATATTTTGATATTTTCATGATGGAGATATTCCCTGTGTAAATGGTAGATGGACTGTTTATATATTATTAACCACTTATAATACAAGTCGCATTCGCTCTATCACACACACATTCATACAGATAATTCACATATATTTCACACACTGTCAGCCCAGCCCTCAGGATCAATTGGTGTTTCAATGTCTTACCCAATGACACTCTGGGGACTGGACCACAAACCATCTGATTAGTGGACGACCCACTCTGTCTCCTAGTCCACAGCAAGTCAGGAGCTAGATTCTATATTTTTTACTTTCCTGTAAAATGCAAAACTACTTAATTGAGGAGCTGTGCATCACAACCTGACAGGCCCCAGATGGTCTGTTTGCAGCATGTGGACATGTTGAATCTGTTTGGAGTCAGCAGTTCTTTAAAAGGCACCTGCAGATTACAGTGAGGTCCAACATGAACCGTCAGAGGCCTGTGGATTTATGATGCATCTGCCTGCTTGAGGTTGATTTGTGAAGTGCGAGGCACAGCGCCTCATATTTGGCCTCTCAGAGCACACGTAGCGAGGGATTTGGTGATCCATTAACGTGCACTGACACACGTGGCAAACCTGAGCCAATTCATTAATCTGCGCAAAAAGATGGACATCTGTAATTATCAGACTAGAGAGGATGGTGCTGATAATATAAAAACTTAATACAAGGAAAAAGAAATAGGAATAAGTTAAATTCTTGGGAGATGTTTAACCTAAACAAAGAGCCCAGCTCCCTCACCTGAATACTGCAGGTATACATCTGCCAAGGCTTTCCAATCACCTTATGAAACCACATTGAAATTTACTAGATCCAGATTTTTAATTGGTCTTTGACCAAATTGCACACACTCATATATACTGTTTCATTTCCCCAAACATGCCTGATTTCTTTCATCAAGATCCATGAGTTCTCTTTTTGGGACTAGATGTAAATATCCCTTGTTGCATAAATAAGACCTGCTACTTGGACTCTGCGGGATGGTCAAGTGAGTGATGGCACCTTTCTGGGTTATCAAGTGGGTGCCCTCTTTCTTCAAGGTTTCGCTGATGGGCCCCAAAGTCTCCTGAGGGTTCAGCAATGAAATCCTGAGCCACTGACTGCCCTTTTCAGCAGCTCTGGAGCAATGTGAAACTGTACTTAAATTCGGTGCTCTTGCCTCTTGTGTTCGGACCACTGGTGCTCCAACCACTTGGCACTGGATGGTTATTACTGCATCACTCACTGGTGCTTCAGCCACTGGTACTCCTTGACCCCAGCTTGAGAAAAAAGCAAAGCCCCAGTCAGCTCTACGTCTTCGTGCCTGTAGCCCTGTGTCATCCCTTGTCATGCTCCTGCTAACTTCCATAACACAAAATGGCATACAGCTGGAGAATCGATATGACATCCTTGACATGTACGATTTCCCTAACTTGGAACCAGCGAACGTCTGCCAAGATTATCAGGGTAGAGTCAAGCCGATCTTCACCCTTTCACCCAGGTCCCTTCACTCCATATACCTGGACAGGCCTCTTGTCCCACCAGTCAAATCTGAAATGTACTCCTGCTCTACTGGCCTTCTTCTGGTTAAGACTCCCAGCCTGCACCCAGCAATGTTATACTTGACACTGGCTGTAATAATACAATATAGTAAGCAAAACAAAAGGGTTGTGCACATCTATTCATTAGGAGTATTGTGTCAAAGACTGAAGGCAGCTCTTAAAATTGCAAAGCTGATTTCCTTTATGAAACTAATCAATGAGTCTAAGATATATAGTAAGGAGTATAGCTGCATTTCTTCTCCAGGCAGTACACACACGCACACAGACACACAGACACACACAGACACACAGACACACACACACACACACACACACACACANACACACACACAACCCTCTGGCTCCACCATGTGGCTTGGTGGGCCTCCTGCTACCAAGCCTACTGCCTGTCTAAGTAATCCCTTTGAGTTTAGGACCTAAAAAGGCCTAGGATTGATTAATTTACACAGCAGAGCTCTAATCCAGCACCCAAAACTATATCACTTGAAATTATTGGCCCATTAAACAGATCCTGATATACTGACTGAGATATAACACATCAAGAGCACTATTAGTGATTATAAAGTGGATTTAAATGATTATGATATTTTTTTTGGATTGACAGAATTGGCAGGGGTCGTGGTGTTTTCTGTCTCCATATTACATTCTGTCACTGTGCCCTAATGTTTCATAGCCTTTAATAAACACTTCTAAAGAAAATTAAGGGAACACTTTATTCTCACAGTACAACTGAAGATTAGAAAATAATATCTCCCTCTCTTTTATCTCCCCATTTTCTGCTCTCATCCCATCTGATCAAGGCAGATGTCCGCCCACACTGGTACTGCTGGAGGTTTCTTCCAGTTAGTGATGGGGTTTTTCTCTCCAAAGTTGCCAAAGTGCTGCTCATTGTGGGAACTGTTGGGTTTCTCTTTCTTATACATTTTAAGGTCTTGACTGTATTATTTTATGATTTGGCCCTTAAAATTGAACTGAATTGAATACCTTTTATTTTCGTTAATTTATCTTTTTGCCATGGATTTTTGTGAAGCACTCCGTCACCTTGTTTAGATAAGTGCTTTATAAATAAAGTTATTAATATTATTGCTTGATTCTGTTAGTTAGTTAGTTAGATCCAATCTTACCTTGGCGCACTGGAGACTGGAGATGGGTAGCTCTAAAACTCCTTTGCCACAGAGCCCAATGCTGTAGAATTACCTAGGAAGAACAAGCCACTTCCTCATATACGAGTTGACCAGCCTCTCAAGAACTTCCACCTTCGATATTGGAACCTAATTATTTTCTGAAAAATCAACGAAAATGTTTAAAAAACACTGTAACTCACAAATTTGAAAGAAAGTGAAAAGAAAATCCTGATCCAGATCTGCACCAATTTAATGGATTCTTACTTGGTTCACCTCTCTTATGAAAATTGGTTGAGAAGTTTTTACATAATTCTTTTCCGATGGTGACAAGTCAAAATGTCTGCAGTGATAAAGGATCAGTGAGGACGGAGAGCCAAGCCAACTCAATGTTGCAATATTATAACCTGTTATCACGTTATAATATTTTACTGTCGATACATGCTCCAGGAGTACATTATGTGTTCACTGTAAATATATGGGCCTGATTGCTTAGTTACATGATAAACAGTTTTATGTTTGTTCACACCAACACAGACTTTTTTTTTTTACAATTGTAAAACCTTTGATACACAAGCTATGCCACCCCCTTCTAATGCACATCTGTCAAAAATTACCCGAATTCATTTCATGCATTTCTGAGTGTTTCTTTGTTATATCTTTGTAAAGTTAATAAGTAGTCATTCATTTATAAAAAGTATTCATTAAATATCTTGTTTTGATGCGACCACAAATCAGAATCATTATTATTACATTATGAACAAACATACATTTTCTAATTCTACATCAGTCAAATCATCATCAGCTGCTTTTTCTGACACATGTAAGTCTTATTTTACAATCCATTACTAGTGAGAAAGACAAATATGTACAATACTAGTGGTCAACTAGTTACTGGCTAAGTGACATATTCTTTTCTAGCAAGCTAACCACGGACGTGCACAAACATTTTGAGGGGCAGGGGCTCAAGTGAGAAAAAGGGCACTTCTCATAATTATTTATTTAAAAAAATGTTTTAAACCAAAAGTTAAATATCACATCTCTGACTAGTTTAACAGTTTATTGAATACACTCACACAATTGTTAAATACTCAACAGTGGTAGAATGAATAGTTATTAGATGAGGAGCCTACAATTCAAATTACGCTGTTTAAGGCAGGACACTCTAATGGAAAGAAAACTTCTAAAAATACACATTTAGATGGTGTTTGTTTTACCCTCTGTCTGTTTGCTAGCAAGACAAGTTAACTATATTTGTTTTGGTCTTTACCACCACTCCAGCTCCACACAAGCAAAGACAAACCACCACAACTGTAACAGGAGCTGGGAGGTGGGAGGTGTTGCTGTCTGACATGCCTGTGATGACTGTATGCTCACTAGTGCACTTTCACTAGCCTCATGATTCAATTACGGTTCAGCAGTCAACGATTAAAATGCACAACAATGCATATCGATGCATTTTCACATCCACAATTTCTCATATTACTGCAAATGGCTGCTTTTTCATCAGTTAATATCAGTTAATAAAATCAGTGGGACTAATATTTGAAAAGGGCAGGAACAACTGGTAACCTGGGGGTCTTTTTTTGTCAAGCGGTGATGTTTGGCTGTTGGCGTGACCATTTCTGTTTCTCTACATTTTAGAAATGCTTCCCCGCTGGGTGGAAAGTTGCTGGTAGTCGGTATAGAGGGAATAACCACCATACCAGGTATTTTTAAGTAAGTTGTGTTTTTATTCTAGAGGGCACATATTTTAATATATGTTTAATAAAGTGTTTTTAAGCTTGTCAATGTGTATTCCTGTACAGCACCAGTGGTCCTTCAGCTGTTCTTGCCATAGGACTGTTTTGAGTAGCTGTTGTTTGTTTTTTTTCTTCTGTCTAGTCCGCACTGACAAGTGAGCTGGTAACGGGCAAAAAAAGATAGTGATTGCCCTCAGGGCGGACTAGTTTTTCTTTTCTTGGTTTTGTTTGTCTTCCTGCTTCCCCCACTGAGCTGTGTGCTGGTCGAGTCTCAGCTGGGCAGTCAGGGCAGGCTTAAATTGTGGAGGGGTTATATAGGTATATCCGTGTTTAAATGGTTTGCTGTGAAATGATCATGCCTTGATCTGGAAGCGCGTTAACTCACTCAGTGTTCATATATTTTTAATGTTAAGAGCATATTTGTTGTGTAAATGACTTTTCACAAAGTCCTTTAATTGGTGTCATCATGAAATGAAAGCCTTATTCTGATACCAGTCCTCATGTTGACCATAAAACTGGCTAGACTGAAAATAAAATGAAATAAAGGGAGGAAACAAAATGATGTTGAAGCTAAATGAAGGGATTATTGTGCACATAAGTGGCCATTCCCACAACCCTTGTTCCAACCTCTCTCTGTGTCACCTGTTGTCCCAGCATGGCTGTAGGATGGCCGCTGCACCTGTTGTCTATTGGCATGTTTGGGCCTGACCCCCCCTTCTGAGCTCCCTTAGCCCCACAACCAGCCAACCTCGTTGGGCTACAACGGCTCCAATTGAGATCATGCTGTGGATCATGCTGGCCTCACTGGCCAAACTGGGTAAGGCTCAAATTCACTCATACACGAGAGGCCAGCTTTTGAGTTGATTGGGTGGTCATTTGTTAGAAAGTGTGAAATTCAACTGGAGACATGGGAGTTACAGATCGTGACATACATTCAGGTTTTGGATCCCAATCTGGTTTCCACAGGTTTGGTCTCTCTAACATTGTCCTCATCGTGGTGGGCCTCCTGGTGGTTCGGGGAGGACATAAAACATATTGCACAGAGTTTTGTTTGTTGTTTTCACAAATTTTCGATTATCAAGTTTTAAAATGTGTGTGTATGATGTCGTAACTGCTGTGAGGGGAGAGGTGGTACACATTGTATTTTGTTAGTATTGCTACTGAACTTTGCTTCTGCATTTCTGGGTCCACCTGCACACATCAACTCTGACAGTTTTAGAGAACGAGAAGCAGCGATGAGCACAGACTGTGAGATAAGGGAAAAAAGAAGGTGGGTGGGTTAATGTAAAGCAATGAGTTCAGTGTGTTCAGCTATTTTCGCTCCATAATATGATAAGTTACTACTTGTGGGGTGCAGAGACTGGGTTTATGAAGGATTTTTAGCAATTTCATGGACATCCTTCAATTAAAAGTGTTAAATATTTCACCTTCAGGCTTTATCATTTTGAGTGTTTGCCAGCAACAAAGCTTTGCTCTGCTTCGTGTTTCACGGAACAGCTCTGGTTTGAGGGTCATTTGCATCTGCAGTCTAATTTGATTTCAAAGTTCCTCTCCAAGAGTTACACCCACCTTAGAAATACCTTGCAGCCATAAACACTGATACGGGCAGTCCACACTGTAACACACACACACCAATCAGTCCTGCCTCTCCTTGTTTTCTTCATAAATGCAAAGCACACCCAGTGGTAATTTGACAAGGACAGCCTTCCTAAAAATAGCCCCCCCACCATCCACTCACCCACCCCCACTTTGACCTCCTCAGTTGCTGTGGTCTCTTTTCCCCCCACAACTCTGGCAGGGAGTGGCTGGGAGAGCCACACTGTTTTCTTTAGGACCAGGGCTGGGGCAGAGGGCTGCACAGTGGACACTGGTGAGGGGTCTTGACAAGTCACTGACCTGAGGACTGTAAGCTGAGGAGAGAGGTGCACAGAGGAGGAGATTTTACGCCGGAGTCATGAGGGTGGGAGCTGCAGCCTTGGCTGGAGGGATTTTTGGGGCAGTGGGGACCCTGTGTTTCCTCCTGGCCTTTGGTACAGACTACTGGCTGGTGGCCAGTGACAACTGTGGACCACATACATGGCCGACGCAAACAACCCAGCCAGGGGGGAAAGATGTCAATGGGACTGAGGTAGGACAGGTGTGTGTGTGTGTGTGTGTGTGTGTGTGTGTGTGTCAGAGGGTTCTTGTAATCATCATCACCTTGTGGGAACATTTGTTTAAACAGTGACGTCATGGGGACCGGCTGCGGTGTGGGGACCAAATATCCGGTCCCCATAACGATAACCCTTTTAAATGAACACATGAGCTACTTTGAAGGTGAAGTTTTTAGCATTGGCCCATGTGGCATGTTTTTTTGGTGAGTGTGTCTGTGTGTGTGTGTGTGTGTGTGTGTGTGTGTGTGTGTGCTTTGCTCATTAGTGCCCTTACTTGTTTCTAGCTAGTACTGCACTCACTGCTTCACACACACACATCTTCCAAATGTAATTGGGTACCACCGACTTCCTGGTCTTCATTAGGAAGGATTTAAGCAGCGTGGAAATTTTCAGTGTTACAGGTGGTAATCAACATAGAAAAAGAAGATTATTTGCTGGAGATACCAGCTAAGAAGATATGAACTTGTGCAGAGGAGCAAAAGTGAAGCACAAGGTAAGCACATTTGTATATTAAATCAATATAACCAGTGTTTAACCCTCAAATAACATTAATTAGCTGTACCTGGCTAGCATGATTGATACCTCTAATTAGCTGCAAAGGCTCAGCGTATGACCTTAAATGTTTTATTGCATGTCTCCAACTACTTGCATGCATGATGCATATGTGAAGGAGTTTATGTAAACTAAAAGGGCATGATCAAGTCTTAAAGGTTCAGTGTGTAGAATGTAGTGATGAATTTGCATGTTTCAGTTGAACCCCCCTCACCTTACCCTCCCCTTCCAAAAATAAAAATGCCTGCGGTATTTTTTAATGAAAACTCAAAGGTTTTAGTTTGTCCAGTCTTGACGACTGTAAAAAACATGGCGGCCTCCGTAGAGAGGAGAGGACCCCCTACCGATGTAAATATAAAGTATTGAAATATAAAGGGGGCATTTTACGATAAAGAAACAACAGTTTGTACAATTAAGATTATTACAAACTAATAAAAAAACATTGCTAGGATTAATTTATATTCAATTTCCCCTAACCCTTTCACCTAAATCTTACACACTGGACCTTTTAGCCTAAATGGTTGCTCTCAGGGGGTATTTGGTGAAATTGATTCTGTAAATGATTTATGAGCATTTATGAGTTTTGAGTGTCATTTTGTTATGATGAACTGAAGATCAATATTTGTACTGTTTATTTAGTATGTTTAGGTGAATTTATAGGGTACATTAAAGAGCACATATAAAAGACACAGGTTTTGACCGCAGTAAAAAACAATTAAATCATTCAAAAATAATTGGTTACTTTTAATGATGAAATTCTAGTTGTTCTCAGTTTTATACAGAACCTTTATACGAAATGCTCTTTGTCTGACTGCAGCTTACACTGAGAGACTTTTTGAATTTGAAACAACACAGGAAATTGAGTGTAACCTGGCTGCTCTGGATAACCTCTATTTGGGGCATGAATGAAGAACTAAATGATAGAAGAAGAAACATAAAACCTCAAGTCATGCAAATAAACTGGAAATAACCAGAGTTATTTGTCATGAGTGGCTTTAATTTTTACTTATCCTATTGCTGTTTGGATTTGCACTGATAAAATAAGACGGTAAAGGTATCAAGACTACCAGGTATTATGTGAAAGGCAAACTCCTTCCCTATTATTCAGATATAATCACCTCTCATTTAAGCTGTTTTCAGGCATGACCTGCAGGTAAAATCCAGATAATTGGCTACAGAGTTTACCCATAGTTTGCCTTTCACACATACAAAATGTGCGTATGTGTGTATAGTTTATGCAACAGCGCACAAGGTTTTGCATCACCCTGCAGGCAGGAACTTTACTCAACACATAGTGTGAAGAAGAATGTTTCTGTAGTTTCATTTTGCAGGAAAAACAATCCTCATGAGGTATTAGGCAACAACAAACATTTTTAATATCACATAATCTTGCGATGTTAAAAAATCAAACAAAATTATTTTAAAGCAAACTACTTTTTATAATGTTTTCCTGCAGAAATGCCACCACGGATCAGCCCCCTTCTGGATGCAATTTAACATTGTATTTTAATAACAAAAATCTGCAAGTTAGAGATCAAGTACATCAATGCAGTAAAATGTGAGTTGGTATCTGTTGTAAATGATTAGTTAATAATTATCATTTGAACATATACAATCATTATCTGATGGCCATCTAAAGTAAAGCTCCAGAGTAATTTAATAGGGACTAGAATGCTGCTTATCTCAAATAAACAAGCTACAGTGGTCAGTCTTGTGTTTTTTGGGGGGAGTATATATTAGCATAAACTCATTGATGATTGTAGAATTAATGGATCTTCCTGTTATTGTTTACAGGACGTGGTATATTTGCAAAGGGTACAATTGGCAAAGGAGACTTTGTTGAGGAGTATGGGGGATATGACAGGTGATGCAGAATCCCAGAGAAGGAGAAAACCTTACCACCCATCATGTGCTGCATTTATGTTAAGGAAAACATGGTGGTAAGACTTAAGAGGAAGACCTAAACTATACTCCATACACTATACTAAGTGGGGCTCTGAATTTATGGTGATGTATTGTGATATATGTATTTTTTCTTTTCCAAATCCTCAAGTATTGATGCCTACAAAGAAGATTGCTCAATGGACTACTAGTTAATGATGAGAACAGACATCCTAACTCCAAAATGAAAAAACTGGTGTTACTGGAAAACCCCACCTTTTCTGTTTGCCCTGAATGACATCAAAAACAGAGAAGAAATGACCTATGATAATGGAGGTGAAGACTGCTGATGGCGACCACAAGTATGTTGCACAGAACACAGTAAATAGAATGACTCAAGTATGACAACTTTTTAGTTGAATGAATTTCCTATAAGCTGCAATCCATTAGTGACCACTAAGTATAATGAAAATATTCTAACACAGGAACATGCAATAACAAACAGAACTCTATATTACGAATGTTTTTAGAAGTTATTAAAGGTCAATTTAGATAATTAATGATTAAGTACAAAGCAGTGATTGCCTATGTTTACCTATAAACCTTGGGGGATGTGTCACGAACTGGCTCACAGTTCAGACAGACAGGTGGAGGGAGAACACACCTATGGTTGTGACAGTGCGAAGCAATTTTTTTTTTTACCTCCACCTTTGAATTAGATTTTATTTTATTTCAGGCACTGTTCTCTCTATCATCCTCACTCTCACTCACTGTAGTAATAGCAGCAGCAGCAGCAGCAGTGTATCAGTGTATTTTCTTTATTAATGACATCACTGTCGTCCCATAAAATCGCTCTTCACCTGAGCACCAGAACTGTTGCTGCTCCCATTTATTTTTTCTGTATATTCATGCCTGCAATAATCAGATAAAGGGTTGCTTGGTTGATTATATAGTCTATTAGGTGCTTAAAGTAGGACTGTAACAGTTTTAATAGTTTAAACATACAAACAACAACTAACCCCTATACCAACCACCAGTCCTGGGTTTTCACAAATCCTGGTTTAGTTTAATGAGTGGATGGGTACATAGTAATAACTTACAGTATTACTTCTACTGCGAAAGCAACTATACATAATCACCATCACTATTTGGAACCTATAAAAATGTATCCAACAGATCCAAAATTTTATAAATACATTTTTTTCTTCCTGAGAAATTGATGTCAGGAAAGGTGAGCCCATGTCAGTGATTAGAATTAACAATTTATTTTTTAACATAACACAGGATGTACAGGTAATAAGAAAATTGAATCCTAATAATGTCCTCGTTCCTACTGATAATTTCAGGCAGAAGGCACAAATCAGTGTTGCCTGGCAATGTAATTATAATTATAGTTAGAGGGCAGATATTTTTCTTATACCGTAGAAACTAGTATACACTGTATAGGATTTATAACTTTGGATCAGAACTCTAAACAGACACTCACACTTTTGTTATCCTTGTGATTACAAATGTGTTTTTCTGACTGCTTTAAGGTGCAGCTGCCAAAAGGAAGAAAACACACTGGAAGCACAGAGAAGTGAAAGCAGTGGAAGGGCACATGAGTCGATTCGTATGGCAGATACTACCTAAGCTCTACTGAAAATGTTTATTTACTATGTTTTAAGAGGCCTTTGAACATTCTGTATCATATTGTTCTGTACTGAAGTGCCAAAATTTCTAATTTATTTAAAAAGGAAATTTCAGTGAAACTTGAGATTTTATATGTTTACAAAAAAGTTTGTCTTTCCTTAAAAATCAGGTAACTTGAATCTGTTTTGAAGTTCATTCGACCAAATCTTTTTGTTTATGAGGTGGAATTCAATAAAAGTTTAATCTCATGGAGTTAAAGTGTCAGGTGATTGAATAGTAGTAAGCTGTTGCTCTGTGGTTAGCAGAAGTTGAAAAATATATATTTTTTAAATTTTGACTGCTCAAGATTTATTCTTTGTACAGATACAGAACGATAGAGATCTGTAACTGTACATAGAGATAGAGCCCGTCACTGTTTCATCTATTGATATTCACTTCAACCATGTTACACTGATGTCCTACTAAAACTTCAATTCTGCTTCATTATGAAGATGAGTACATAAGCAACACAAGATTCTCTGTGCAAAATTGCTTTGCATCCCTGCCACCATTTACAGTTCTCATGATATATATCTACATTATCTATCAACAACTGAGGCAAGATAACATTTTAAATTTGAATTGTTATCAGTGTAATACTGAAGTTCTTTTTGGTTCTTTTTGAGTTTAAACTTTGTTAGTTTTAAACAAACAGCTCTAACAAATTTAATAATGGAATGACTTACTTAATATAGGTCGTTTATCAGTAATAAATGCTTTATTGCCTCAAGGTCCCCATTTGTCTAATGACAAGTTGTGTGAGTCAAAAACACACTTGTAGTCAAAACACTACCTCATGAATTCAGATATTTTAAGGTGTGTATAAACTGAAAAAGTTATGCTTAGTGGCCCTGATTTTTTTTCATACCTCTAGAACCTTTAGAAAGAGTAGTCCCCACAGGTGACAATAAAAAACTTGGTCCCCATGGACCATGGAAACCAGTGTGTGTGTGTGTGTGTGTGTGTGTGTGCATGCCTGCGTGCGCACGTAATTATTCATTTCTACAAAAGAAATACACACACTGAATGCAAACCTTGCTGCTGGCTTTCAGAACTGTTTGTTGATCTCTAGCTAAACAACTGCATATAATAATAGTCACAGCAAAACATTATTTTTAACTGTGACACATCACATGTGATAACCACAAAAAGACCTCTGTGGAACCTGATCTGGTGTAGACAGCAGGGTGCATGTCACAGTAAGATATTTGTGTTTGATATTGAAGGGATTTGGCATTTCACTTTCATACAAGAACATGCAGCACAGACTGAGACATCCCAGTTTTTAGTCTGACCTTAGTGACTTGTAGTAAGAGAACCTCCGAAAACACTTGTTTCACTGTCCAGTGAACTCCCATGACTGCCAAACCTCATGCCCCCAGTTTTCTGTTAACCAGATTGTGAATCTACAGCCATTCTAGCAGCTCTGTGAGTCTGTATTTCAACATAGACCGTAAATAAAGATGGATAAAACGTCACCACTTCCTCCCACTGTCCAGAAATAAAATAAAAAATCCCAGATATGAATCCAAAGTTGGCAATCATGATGTTTTACCCTGTTTCTTTATCATCAAATAACTAATTAAACCAAACCAAACAGCAGGAAAATGAACTCTACATTAGTGTGATAAGATTGACATAAAATGACTAAAACCATTGATGAGAAAAATTTATTTGACATATTCTTTGAATCTTTGGCTTTGTCAGGGTCCTATCCAGCATTCTGGAGCCCATCTGCAATCACTTGACAACAAATTCTGGGCCATGGACTCTGTCTTCTGTCCCCCGGTCACAATTTACAATCCAATTATCTCACAAGTGGAACGTGGAGCTAAATGCTAACATCAACATGCTACCATTTTCACCATAACAATGCTGACATGCTAATGTGGTCACTATCTTAGTTTATTTAGTTAATTCAGAATATAGGACGAGATGTTAAATAAATATCCCTTGTGCGGTCTTCTGCACGATTTAGGTCACTATACCAGTACAAGTATCTTAGTTTATTTAGTTCATATTTGGTTGAATTCTCTCAAGCTAAAATAATCCTAATGACATCACCAGGGTTATTTTTCTCAGAAGTGACCACGCTACTTTAGAACCATGATAATACAACTGCTTTCATTGGCCGACTCCTGCACAGCCAGTCACCTGATCTTCCTGTGCAGCCCCTTTAATTTTCCAGTCCGTGCCACATGTGTGAGAGAGTTCACAAAATGCAAAGTAAGGGATATATTTATAAAAGCTAAATCCCCTGTGAACGACAAAGTCTTTCATTTTCAATAAAAGAGGATGATTAAAGTTGCTGTGTGTTATTCAGCGCCATCAATCATGTTTTTGACAAGCGAGCGGAGAGTATCACTCATGCGTGTTTCATAAGTTCCCCCTTGAAAAACCTCACGGAGCAGCAGGCCATAATCAGAACCATGTTTAATGCCACAGCTTGGCTGAAGCTCAGACTCACACAGAGCGGCTAACAGACACGTGCTGACAGATGATGACACAAATAAAAGTTCATCCATCTTGAATTATTTTCTAGTGTCTGTCTGTGTTTGTCTACAATCTTGTTCTCCTCTTTAGATCCCGTCAGAAGTGGAACCAGTCCCTGTTCCTCAGAGGTCGCTCACCCTCCACCATGAGGGCTTCTTCTGGCGCTGTGTGTTTCAGGTGGAGCCTGCAGCACATGCAGTCATGGCCACTCTCTTCAGTATGTAGAAATAACAAGGTTTTTTCTGGGGCTTGTCCAATGTGGTTGAATGTCTCATGCTCAGTGGTGTGGTCTCCTCGACACGCTCACATGTGCAGAGGGGAAAAATGTCTATAGTTTGGATATTTGACAGAAAATATACAGCAGGAGAGTAAGAAGAATATGTTGGCATTTATTACAGGTTATAGGGTTAATTTTTTCCCGTTTTTGCTTTACTCAACCGCATGAAGTCATTTCTAGAACCACACTGTGTTTTCCTTTTTTCAGGTTTTGAGCTTTTAAAATTACCATTATTTTTTAACTGTAGCGAACCAGCCAGAGTCCAAGGTGTGTAGCCATGGTTACCTGTTCCCTCTACCTGTCGCACTTGGACAGGTGCCTCATCCAAGTTATGACGCCACAGCAGGTAAGTCACAAAGTCCTAAACACAATCACATAGATGCATGCCACTATTTCAACAACTTGCACATGTACACATATGCACAGTTGACATTTAGGCCGTTTACATTAGACAGCCAAAAATAGACATGATGAAAAGTTATAATGAATAATATATAAACACAAGGGAATATAAAAAAATATTGATAGAATAGAAATAATATATACAGTGTGAGTAGAATATATTCGGTAATACAGATTGTACATGAGCCATTCAATTGCACAGGCAGTTGTGAGTATTGCAGTTAAATGAGTCATACCTTAATTTATAGTGTAACTAACTTTAATGTAGCCAACGGTTACTAGCTGGTATTTCATGGCTGTGATTGAAAGAATGAATGGGAAAACAGTGAATTTCATAAAAGTGAAGACATTCGTGTTTCCTCTTCATTTCACATGCAAAAGTAAAATAATGAAGTTCTAAAAACTCTCCCCACAGCCCAATTTTTTAATAAGTGGGATTATTAATATTAATGTATTTGGTTTATTGCTCAATATTTTCTTAATATTTAATTTCCCAACATGAAGATCTAAATGCTGTCTCTCTACACTGCCAGTAATATTTCTGGATTTATAAAAATACAGAATTTTTAATTCATCCATTGACCTATACATGCACAATTTGAGTGTAGAAATAGTGTTATCTGCCTGTAAAACAGCCTCCATGTGCATTCTAAAAAATATCATCGACATGACCTTCCTAGTATTAGCTCAGGCCCAGTATACACACAGATATATAGGTGCACCGCTCTGATGGTGGCCTCGGCTGTGTTTCCCGCAGTGTTTCGGGGTTTCTGGACCGTGCTGATAATCCTCGGGCTGGTCTCAGCTCTGACTGGAGGCTTCCTCCTGGTCTGTGGTGTCCCCTTCATCAGCCCCCAACTCTACAAGCTGGGTGGAGCCTTCCTCATCGCTGCTGGTAAAACATAATCTACTGTTCATACACGAGTGGAGTTGAAAATACACCATCAGGGGAGTAGATGCATGCACAGACATAAACTCATGTTGCAGTCATTGCTGCTGTCAGCTGTTTACACTCGTCAAACAGTAAATACATACCCTAACACACAGAGCAGCAGATGTCACTCTGCAACACTGTCGCTATAACGACAGCAGCTGCCGTGGTAACAGTAGGGATGAGTAAGGGAGCTGCATTCCTCCGGTGTTGCTCACGGCAGTGACAAGCTCTGACACTCTCCATTTCACACCCCGCAGCCTGCTTGTTCCTGTTCATGCTGCTGCTCTACGTCCTGTGGATGGAGGTGGTGGACGTGAAAAGCTACGTCCTGCAGGAGAGGGGAGAGGCCTGTCCAGACGCCAAGGTTTCTGTGCTCTACGGCCTGTCGTTCATGGTGGCGGCGGCTGGCGTGCCCCTGGAGCTCGTCTCTGGGTTGGTTTTCATGCTGGTGGGCCGGGCGCTGCGTGCCAGCAAGTGAGCTCACCATCTGGCCCGGAGGAGAAGAGCGGACTGACCTTTTTATGTCCTGCACTGGGAGTCAATGGCACACATGTGGGATGTAAACACCCACTGGAAACACACGACCAACATTACTGCATCATCCTTTTTGGATGTTAATCCGCCTGCGGCCAGAGACACTGGTTTGGTGTTGCTGTTTTCTGTCACTTGCTTTGCTTTATTTCCATAAAAATCACCAGTTACACAAGATGTCAGCAGTAGGGTTTATTGATGTAAACATGATGTGCTACTCACATATTAAGGAGCAGTATAAAATATGCTGAGACTCTTTTTTTTTTAAGCAAAACTCTGAGAAAATAAATATTTCTTCTGCTCAACTGCATCCTTCAGTAATTCTGCCAACTGCTGCTTTTTATTGATGCTGCGAAGGATGATTCCACAGAGCGGAAGGTGAGGTACGCATGGGTGAGCCAGCTGTGTCCCCCCCTGTCCTGGTTTTGGCACACGATCAGAGTGGGCTGTAGCCGGAGCAGAGTGAGGTGGGAGGGAGGAGAGGATGTGGACTGGAAACAGAAAGGGCAGGGTTTGGATAGAGGGGTGGGGGTGGAGCAGGAGAGGGATGGATGTGGGTATATAGGGGGGTATAGGGAAAGAATTGATGCGTGTAGGGGTGGTGGGCACAAAGGGGGCTTTGAGAAATGAACAGCTGTTTGTGGGATTGGTTGGTGTACAGCGGGCCGGCCACCTGCCTCCTTCACCCCAATCATATTTCACTTGCTCATTCAAATCCTTCTACTTTCTCTTTTCTGCCTTTCAATCCCACCTTACATGCAAACACTAAAATTCAGTCCGTTGACAAATATCTAATGCATTCACAACATCACCCTTCCAGTCAGCCCTCCTTCTCCTCAGTGTTGTCCAAAGGAGAAACACAACACAGGCTTGTGATTGTATCATAACTGCTACAATATTAGATCATGCTCCCCTTTCATTGGTCTGAATGGGCGGAGTGTGGAAACAAGCAAGTGGACGCTCAATCACACATATCAGCCACATCTACGGCTGTGGAGGGGGGGTGTTGTCGGGAAGGGCTCACTGATTAAACATGTACACACAAACACACATGCCATGTTATTACTGAGGTGATGCTGTCGGTATCATTCTGCCTCTGTTATATTGCAGCTTTGGTCTTTTACATGATTGTTAATGGTGACTGTATGTATGATTATATAATATTGTGTATATTCAGTGTTGTGTGCTTCTCGCTATTATTCACGTTGCTCACAGGGACTATTGTGAAGGGGGGAGTTTAGTGTACAGTTCATCCGTTAAGACTTTTTTCTTTTAAAAGGAAAATATGTTGTTTTAAAATATAAACAATTATTGTCCCCTTTTAGTTTTTTGATGGTCAAAACATTTCTTTATGTTTATCGTCCTGTACCTTCATTGGCCTGTAGGTGGAAAGGCCTGGATCACCGAAAATGGTTAGGAATCACAATGGTGAATGTGGAAATGACTATCAACAACCAATGTAAAAGAAATCAAAGAAAGATTTAATGACGAAAACAAACCCCCCCACCCGCTAAGATCATCACCATCCTAGGGCCGACGTCAACATCATGGAAGAGCCAAGACACATAAGACTCTCTATGCAGCAGGACACAGTTTATTCACACACATTTATGTCCATTAAGTATCAAAAAGTCACTTGTCACACTGAACCAATTATCTATTATTTATAACCCTAGTGTTCACTCATCAAGATGGTTTCATTACCACAGTCAGCCAGCAGATGGCTCTCCGGCTCTCCTCTTTCAACGGGAGACCCTTCTATTCATGGATAGACAGAAGGAAGAAAAGGAAAGACGAAAGGAAAGTAGTGAAGGGAAAGGAAAGGAAGGAAGAAAAGGGGGTAATTACGGAGCAAAGTATTGAACTATAACGCTGGCTTGTTCAATGACTGTAGCTCTTTCTAATTATAGTTAATTAACTCTTATGTCTCCTCCCCTGTCATCCACAACAATGGAAACACTATCACTTCATTTAAGGAAGAAATAATCTTGCACTTGAAGTGTCAGCAATAATGGCATTATAATATTATGCACATGTCATAGTGAACATCATGTGAATAAAGACATGACATGATAATAAAGTAATAAATGCTTTGCAAATTAACCCCAGCAGACCCGAGGAACCCGAAGAGCATACGTCTTGTTGATTAGGCTTAATGGCTGTGAATTATATGTACGCTACCAGTTAAAAGTTTTAGAGCTCTTATTTCATTTTACTTAATTGAATGTCTCTGTGTTTCTGAAATTAAAACATAGAATAAATAAACAATTGGAAAACATGCAGTGTGGGACTTTTACATGTATGTAAATGAACGATACTTTAATGCCAGATGCATTCTCTCCATACCGTTTAAATCTATCCACTATCTATCGTAACATTTCTATGCTGGAGGATCAGTGTGTTTCACATTAACCAGCATTGATTGGTTTACTAACGTGGGGAGCAATGGAGTCAAAGTAGGCTTCAGCATCAAGCAGTATGGTGGAACCTATGGTGGAAAATCCTGGAAGCATCCAAGAATTGTTTCTGATGTTGCAGATAGAAACTGAAAAATGGTCAAATATGTGTATAGTGCTGTCAGATGGGAAATATTGAATCAACGTTACAGGGCTTAAAATGATAATAATGTTATATTTAAGAAAACAAAAAATAAATTGTATATGAATCAACAATACTTTTATTAAAGCACATTTAGACAAACAAGTATTTGACACTGCCATACAATAACCATATTATGGTTCAAGCTCCACCTCTGCCTGTGTCTTCTGCATACACACTGGCAGAGGACACCTGACTTGAAAGAGATGCATAAAAAACAGACTCATGGTCACATCAAGTGTATATAGACATAGATCTATTATTTACTATACTAATAACACTACTGTGCTTGTGTAATTACTCTCTCTGCCAGTAGGGAGAGACAAAGTTTCCTTCACTACAAGTTTGCTAAAAACAAGGAATCAACGAATCTTTGTGTTGTAATAGATTTAAATGCTTTGATGTTTGACTCATTCAGCAGCTGAACATACATGTGGCGTTCAGTAGTTTGGCTTTTACCTTCTGTCCAGTTCATCTCTAAATAGAAGGACATTCAGGGCGTGTATACTGCTGCTAAGGCTGATTGGCCACTTTATGGATAGTATATTGAGATCAGATACATACACCACGCACACAGAAATGTACTGCTCACATTAAACACAGGGAAAATATCCATTCTCTGATATAGTTGAAAATAATATTTCAATTACAATATTTCTTGTGAAAGTCACAAAAATATAAAACAAACAAGCAAAAAACACCCCCTCACGATATTAAGTAAAGTGAAAACAATTCTTTATCAACACCAAAATTTAACAACCTATACCACAGTATTTAGTTTGGTGATAACCTGCCTGCTAGTTTTTGCATAAAGCTGCTAACAAACAAAACAACAAATGCAGATGAAAACAGAACAGTTGGACTGTTGAGTTATCTCTAGGAATTATTTATTTGCATCCACTTCCAAGCCTTCATTGACTTGTTGTATGTGTTGCTGCAGGAAAGCTGTAAATTAACCAATTTTAATTCCTTAAAAAAAGCCTGTTTGTCCATGATAACATTTTTTAACCTAAGGCAGTTTACCTCTTATTTCTGTGCCATATACACTTATTTACTGGACTGGGGGTGTTTAAAACATTTGACCAGTATGAGTGCATGTGTATGCATGGATATGGATAGTTTTAGGTGTGGCAGCATTATTTGCTGATAATTTCCCAGTATTTGCTTAAAGTCCCATGTACGTTGATGTGTCAGACACCAAACAGCAGGATGTGGTCTCACTCTAGGTTGGGGAAAATTAACCCCAAGGTGGATTCCTCACCCCTCTGTCCCCCCGGAGCACCTGGACTGAATACTTGCTGGTTCTAATCCAGTCAAAGAGGGGGATACACTTGGTGAAAGATCTTTCCGTCCCTTTTCTAACCCCCTAACTCTCCTAGTGAGCCGATTACCTGCTCTGTGTGTGTGAGCTCAGGCCCACCAGGCACTGAGCGTGGCTCTTTGTGTGTGTGTGTGTGTGTGTGTGTGTGCACAGACGGACACAGTTTCTCCCAGATAAAGGCTTTTCTCCTGTCAAAAATGACTGCCCTGATAAGAGCTGATATGAGAGAATAGCAGGCCTTATGGCATCACTCTTGCTTTTTTGTTTCTTTTGTACAGCCAAAATCCCCCCCTGCCCCCCAACACACACAGACAGACACACACACACACACACACAGACACACACACACACACACACACACACACACTAATCTGTACTGGGGAGAGTGTAGTTGATGTAGAAAGGGAGCAGGTGGAGGAATAAAGAATAGTTGCTGTGTGATTCTTTTTCAATTTTTGTATAAATCACTAGTGTGGTTTATTAAAGACCCCCCCCCAAACACACACATACACATACACACGCAGGCAGATTATGTCTGCTACTGTCAGAGTTCCTGCCTTCAATTAACCTCACAAAGACAGGATCACTTACACACACACACTGTGATGATGATAGCAGCAGGGAGACAGCACAGAGTGAGTGTGTGACTGTACAACACAGTCTCTACAGAGCACGGCATCAAACAATATGACTAATGAATGAATGACATATCTGCTCTTTTCTTCTGAAAAACATCTCAGCATGGTCACACTATTTACGATAATGTGCTTTCTAATGTTACAGCCAATTCGCCAGATGTTGTTTTGCTGCTGAAAACAGAAGAGATTGAAAATTCATTGTGAAATGTTGATGTTGCTATTGTTGAGAAGTGCTGAATGTGTAGTAAATAGAAACAGCTCCGTTTAAATTGGCAGGGAAATGACAGACTGCTAAGATGAGGGGCAGAGGAGAAGTTAAGTGCTGCTAGAATAAGAATAATAGATACCATATCATGTTGCTTATATATTTTTCGTAAATATTAGAAATTGATGTAAAATGTATACATGTGCCTAATGTGTCTGTTTCTGTATTATACCACATGCAGGGGTTAATGTGGGGACAGGTTTAGTGTCACAGGACAAAACTGTTGTCTCAGGTTTGGTTGCATGAAGCTGGTTTCTGTCTCATTCGGAGTTTGGTCGAAGCGAAGGACTTGTTATGTGTGATAAACAAACTGAGGGTCAGATTATTTAACAATACTCAAACAAGTTCTCAAAAATGTTGCTCACTTTGGCCAAGACAAATGGCCACATGTGAATGTAAGGCAGGGTGTAAGGTTTTGGTTTAGAAAACAATTTTAAACTACATTAATTTTATCTGTTGAATGGCTTAGTCCATAAGTGTGGTCTATCAATCAAACGTGATTCTTCTTCTCTCAAACACCCCGAAGAACAGAGTTGTTGATGAGTAGGAAATCAGCCTGACATCAGCCGACTTTTAGCTAGCTGGTGTTCAGTATCCAGCAAAGTAAAGTCCACATCCTGTTTATCCAGAGATAATGTCTCTTGGATGCACACAAACAGAGAAACTCTTGTAGCCCTCTAGTGGTTCTGAGACTCTCTACCTAAAA